TTATATATTTTAAAATACAAAAGTTAAGCTAACTTATAATGAAATACAAAACGATTGGACGCCCAATAAGGGACTTGAACCCTTGACCCTCAGATTAAAAGTCTGATGCTCTACCGACTGAGCTAACCGGGCTTCTTATCATGAAATATTTACTTTTTATAACGAATCTAGTAAAATTCACTTATCGTCAAATGAAATAGCAAAATTACATTTATACCGTAAAATACAAAACGATTGGACGCCCAATAAGGGACTTGAACCCTTGACCCTCAGATTAAAAGTCTGATGCTCTACCGACTGAGCTAACCGGGCTTCTTATTATGAAATATTTACTATTTATAACGAATCTAGTGAAATTCACTTATCGTCAAATACAATAGCAAAATTACACTGATACCGTAAAATACAAAACGATTAGACGCCCAATAAGGAACTTGAACCCTTGACCCTCAGATTAAAAGTCTGATGCTCTACCGACTGAGCTAACCGGGCTTCCTATTTTGAATTATTTACTTTTTATAACGAATCTAGTAGAATTCACTTATCGTCAAATAAAATAGCAAAATTACATTGATACCGATTTATACAAAACGATTGGACGCCCAATAAGGGACTTGAACCCTTGACCCTCAGATTAAAAGTCTGATGCTCTACCGACTGAGCTAACCGGACTTCTTATTATGAAATATTTACGTTTTATAACGAATCTAGAAAAAAATTATATATTTTGAAATACAAAAGTTAAGCTAACTTATAATGAAATACAAAGCGATTGGACGCCCAATAAGGGGCTTGAACCCTTGACCCTCAGATTAAAAGTCTGATTTTCTACCGACTGAGCTAACCGGGCTTCTTATTATGAAATATTTACTTTTTATAACGAATCTAGTAAAATTCACTTATCGTCAAATGAAATAGCAAAATTACATTGATACCGTAAAATACAAAACGATTGGACGCCCAATAAGGGACTTGAACCCTTGACCCTCAGATTAAAAGTCTGATGCTCTACCGACTGAGCTAACCGGGCTTCTTATTATGAAATATTTACGTTTTATAACGAATCTAGAAAAATTTATATATTTTAAAATACAAAAGTTAAGCTAACTTATAATGAAATACAAAACGATTGGACGCCCAATAAGGGACTTGAACCCTTGACCCTCAGATTAAAAGTCTGATGCTCTACCGACTGAGCTAACCGGGCTTCTTATTATGAAATATTTACTTTTTATAACGAATCCAGTGAATTAATTCACTTATCGTCAAATACAACAGCAAAATTACATTTATACCGTAAAATACAAAACGATTGGACGCCCAATAAGGGACTTGAACCCTTGACCCCCAGATTAAAAGTCTGATGCTCTACCGACTGAGCTAACCGGGCTTCTTATTATGAAATATTTACATTTTATAACGAATCTAGTAAAATTCACTTATCGTCAAATACAATAGCAAAATTACATTTATACAAAACGATTGGACGCCCAATAAGGGACTTGAACCCTTGACCCTTACATTAAAATTCTGATGCTCTACCGACTGAGCTAACCGGGCTTCTTATGAAATATTTATTTTTTATAACGAATCTAGTAAAATTCACTTATCGTCAAATACAATAGCAAAATTACACTGATACCGTAAAATACAAAACGATTAGACGCCCAATAAGGGACTTGAACCCTTGACCCTCAGATTAAAAGTCTGATGCTCTACCGACTGAGCTAACCGGGCTTCTTATTATGAAATATTTACTATTTATAACGAATCTAGTAAAATTTACTTATCGTCAAATACAATATCAAAATTACACTGATACCGTAAAATACAAAACGATTGGACGCCCAATAAGGGACTTCTTATACACATCT